CCCCCCCCCCCTCTTCTGTCTACGCCTTTCGACATGCTTCTTGCTTCATGGCGTATCGGGCTCACACGGGAGGGAGGGCCGATTTCCGCATGGCTCTCTGTACGGCCGCCGTTCGTTTGCTCTCTCCTTTGCCTGTATCATCTGTCGAGCGCCCCCAGGGTTCTTGTCGTTGTTTGGTTTGTGTATGCCTTCCCTGCAAAATTCACTCCTTCACAGATGCCCACACCCGCCTATGTCCCGCTCCAGCTGCTGCTACGGGTGCTGCCGCTTCCATTACTCAATCCCCGTTTTCGACCGCTGTAGCACAGTCTACATCTCCACCATGGTCACCCCTTCAACTTTCTCTATTGCGAACCAGCACCACGGCTACTTGGAGAGTATAACCACAGCGCTACGGAACAAATGTACGCAGCAGGAGGGCCGCTGCTGTGAACCCTGTGCTTCCTCAAGTCACTTTTTCACATTTCCGCTTGCTGCTGCTGCTGCTGCTTCTGCTTCTGCTTCTGCTTCTGCTGTTTCTGCTGGTGGTTCTTCTGCCGTTGCTACAGATCCTTTGGATGTACCTAGCAGGGACGAAAGAGGCGGGGTTGTCACGCCGCCGGGGGCTGGGCGCCTCATATGCTGATGCCCACAGCAGCGGATCCACGCGCGGGTGAGAGCATGGTTGGGTTGGCACAACATCAACAACAACTGGGTGGAGGTGGCTCGGTCCCGCTGGGTATCCTGCTGCTGCGGTAAGCTATTTGGCCGTGTTATGCAGGCGTGTTTGTGTTTGGGGCAGTGTGGAGCAGTGATTGATTGAAGGAAAGATTACATGGGTGGAGCACGTTGGGTGTGTTATATTTCTTCTGTGGTCGGTTGGCCGGGGGACTGATCGCTTCCTTCTCCCAGTTCTTGTCATCTTTCACTCACACGAATGCTATCTTTGTCGTGATGTTACTTGAGGGCATCGCATGCACCGGGAGTGTATATTGAGGTGAATTGCTGGTACGCCTCCCGGGCACTAAACATTGGTCAGGCATCCATTCGGGCTTATAAGTCCCGACTCACTGCTGTCGTAGCCTTCATGTTGTCTGCCTCCGAGTGATCGCACTACACCAGTTTAGTTTCAACGCCACTTCTTGAGTGCAGTGCATATGTCCCTACGTCCCCTCAATGTGGTTCATCTGTTCATTCGTACCAATGCATCATGCAAGCGAACGGGACAGTACAGTACAGTAAAGTACAGCACACCCTTCTTCAGTGTTGTATCATTCGGTAGTATTTTAGAATCGGTGGCCTCGATCCTCCATTTGCCTGCCACTGCGCTCACTGCCACGGCGCTGGATGTTTGTCGGGTGCCCCCGGACACAGGTACCGCCGCCGCCGTTGCCGCCGCTGCCGCCGCAGTCCTATATTTTTCGGCATGCAGCAATACTTCGGATGTGCCAATGACTCCACGCCACGCCCTGCGTCGAGGAGTGAAATCAGATTAGTACTATTGGTGATGGTGATGGTGGTGGTGGCGGAGAAAAGGGGCCGGCGGCATCGCTAGGAGGATTCTTAGGGTCGCTGATGGGCAGCATGGGCCAAACTTACAAAGGCGTGGCCGGCACGGCAGCGGGTGAGCACCAGCAGCACTATTTTGTTGTCATTTGTCACTCTTCAGCTCTCCAGTCGAGCAAGCCCTGGCCGTTCACATTTGTTTGTCGTCACCCTGAGGTCGAACTATTGAGCCCCGTATCGTACGTCTCCACCTTTCCACCGATCCCTGTTGCTTGTGATGGTCCGTCTACAGTGATCATGGACCTAGGTTCTATGCGCGTCGGCGCACGATGTCCCCGCCGCACCCCCGTCCCTTGCATAACCTACCAAGCAACAACGGCCCCGCGGCCCTGAGATAATGTTGACGCCCCCCCCAGTCGACAGCAATCAATGTTCAACCCCCTCCCCCCCCCGACTGCGCTTGGCTTTCCGTCCCAAAATCAGGCGAGAACACGAAAGGGAACCAAGCTTCCCGTCCAGCTACTACAACGGACCAGGCGCATCGTGTTCCGCTGGGGGGTGTGCTGCGGAAGCTGTCGGAGGTGCGGTGCCTGCAGTTTCAGGAAGACCCTCGGCACGACCCCAGAGGCGAGCCAGGGTCCCCGCCGCCTCCCGGAACGCAGCCGGGGAGGAGAGGGCGTCGGTCCGGCAGCTGTGCTCCGATCTGAGGAGAGACATGTCGGCCGGAGTCGGAGATGGTAGTGAGGCTACTCGTTCCCCTCTCACCTCGCGCGCCGGCGGCGGGAGCGGCGCTTAAGGCGGAGGCGTTCTGCACGTCGTCGTTCGTGGAAGCGGCGGTTATTTCGCGAGCCCGTCGGCGGACAGCTCCGTCTCCAGGAACAGGGCGAGGCGCGCGAGAGAGCGCAAGAAGGTCGTGCTCGCAGAGGAGAGGGGAGGCGCCGCCGCCACCGCCGAGGGCACGCGCACCCCCGGCGGGCAGAACTGGCAGAAGGTGGAGGCTTCCGCTGCGTTCGTGCTAGGGAGGGTGTCGGTGCTCTCGGCGCGGGAGTTCGACTCGCGGCGAGGGTACTGCGGCCGGTATCCCGACGTACACATCCATCAGCAGCAGGTGCCCACGGCCGGGCATCCCCCAACTTGCGGGGGGAAAAGTGGAAGGCAGATGCTGCTTGATATTCTCCGTGCTCTATTTTAGGTCTGGAGTATACCGCTTATAGGAACGTGCTTGCTTCTTGTGGTTTCATGTTTGTGTGTAGGTGTTGTTGTGTTTGTTTTGGCGTACATGTTCATGTGGTCGCTACGGGGCACGAGTAGGCCTGGTGGAGGCGGACGATGTAAGAGAGGCATTTCGGCAGCATTCACCATTCTTGGCACACAGCGGTCGATAACCACCCGCGCCATGGTGGTGTAGCCCAGGTCTAGTGTGGCGACAGCACACACGCCCTGCAAAGGAAGCACGGACATGGTGTGCCCATTCCATCACGAGCTTGGCCAGTGAGTGCGGTCCGGTCCACCCAATCTTCGAGCCGCTTGCTTTGAAGATGTACATGCAATTTTTGGGCCCCCCTGATACCTTTGATAATTAAACATTCTCATTTCCTTGAATGTTTCATGCCACGAACTCAGATTTCATTCCCTTGTCACACTGCCGACCAAGGTCCGAAGCAAAAGAACATAACCATGACGTACTGGAAGTACAATAGCCAGGTTGACGTCTTCTACAATCCATGTGTGCAAGCAAAAAGCAAACCAACAACATGTGAATCATGAGCTTCGGCACGAAACGCAGCACCAACCGGGCAGGCAGAAGGAGCCCGCTGACGCGCCCCCCCACAATCCTTGAGATCGAACCAAGAACAGACGCAAGCTGGAGCCACAATGCTCCTCTCGCCGCAGCCCCCTTCAGCGAGAAGCGAGGGAAGCAATGAAAAACGCATGTGCCCGATTTGCCCGAAATAAATAGCACGCAAACCGGGCTAACAGGAAAAAAAGTAGTTGATCGTGGAAACAACCTAGTTGTACATGGGCTCGAGTTTTTGCCGTTTATGGGAATGCACCATCGGGGATAGGCAACAAGGACCTCCAGATACGAAGTACATAGTAATCCGTGCCACATCCGTCGAAAGCAAACCCACTAGTGGACCAAAGCCATGTTTGTAAAACTGTTCTTTTCCACGACTTGACGGTAAACCGCATCATCTATAAGGCCGGGCAAAGGGTCGGATGATCCGACACCTCGCTCAACGCCTTCGAGAGCACGTTTACTGCCAACAAAAAGCATCACCCCTGCTGCCGCTCTAGATACGGGCGGAGAAGTCCTGTCCTCCCTCCTTTCCCCCGGACATGTCGTTCGATCCGTTGGCGGCACTGCCGTCATCTCCCCCTCCATCTCCCACCGCCTTCGTTGACTTGCGCCCGCGTTGTCCTCTCCTGGTCTTCCCGTTCGGCCGTGAGCGCTTGTCCTCCTCCTCCCCCTCCTTCTGCTCCCCCTCCTGATGTGGCGGCTCCGAGAGGTTTCCGCCCGCCTCCTCCTTCTGCTCCCCCACCTTTTGCGGAGGCCCTGAGGATTTGCCGCCCGCCTCCTCAATCTGCTCCTCCTTCTGCTCCCCCTCCCCCTGGGGCGGCCCCGAGCGGTTTCCGCCCGCCTCCTCCTTCTGCTCCCCCTCCTCCTAGGGCGGCCCCGAGAGGCACTGATGTGAGAAGACGAGGCACCTACATCCTGTTGGGTGATGGTCATATCTAGGTGACAGTCAAAACTTGCCAACTCTGCCCGATTACGTTGTGGTATACTTCAATTTTGTTTTGTCATGTTTGGGGGACGTCACCCCGACTGCAATCTATGTACCCTACTCTGCATAGCCACACACCCCGGGAAACAGGGTTCCCGCCTTGCGAACACCTGAAGTAAATTGTTGTGTAGTGTAGTCAAGGCGTTCGGGCGTGGCACGCAGTACGGATACGGCTCATGACATCGTATGTGAAGATGTCAACCCTTGCCCTTGCGACCCTCTGCTTGCCTATTCTTGCCGCATTGATTTCCTTCTGGCGGGAGACACTCCGATCCCGGTCGCCCCGGTGGTCTAGTGGGTAGCCTCGCAGCCTGCAAAGGGCCAGGTCATGGGTTCGAGTCCCGACAGAGTGAGTTTTTTCTCGCTAAATAAATCCTGGTCTCCGTTGGAAGCTACCCGCGACTTCTCAAGTCGCGAAGGAAAGGATTGCTGTACCTTTCTCGCGATAAAAATATCTCAGGCAGGAACCGCAGGAGGGGGTCCAACCCCCCCCCTCCTATGTGACCCCGGTTGGGTCGTCTAGCTGGTAGAAGTGGAGGATAGGGGCCAGAGGGGCAGACGACAGAGTCCAATGATGGGAGAAAAAAAATAAAATAAAACTCCTTCGCGTGTTCTTCGCGCACAGCTTGCAAAAGCCACTCTGCGCAACTTGTCAACAGGAGACAGCAGGGTGTGCGTTCGTCCAGGAGTAGCTAGCTTTCAATGCCTACCAGGGCTTTCGGGTGGGAAACCCCGCAGCGCGTACACCGATAAGATGCACATGCACAGCCAAACAACCCCTCCTGTAATATGCCTGCTGTAACGGTTAGTTTACTCATCGAGAGCTATAGACCCCTTGCCATGCCCTTGGTCACAACAGGATGGCGCAAGGCCCCAGGGAAACTCGGGGAATCGCGTACATGACACTCGAGTTGATCGAGCCGTGATGCACTGTTGTGCTGTATCTTTCTCCCCACACAAGTCCACGGTATGTACCACGCCTGTCGTCATCCATCAAGCCTGGGGCACAGCGTAGACTACAGCACGCATACTTTGGGCCCGGAAATCTACGTACAGCGTAGTCGTACATACCCCAGCTAGAAAAACAGCGAGGGGAGAGAGATGTCTCCTGGCAAAGGAAGGAGTAAGGTCTTTTCTTGATTCGGATTGTGATGTCTCTAAACAGCTTAACGTGCAACCCTCCCCGACCGAATGATGAGCTAGTTAATTCACTGTTGGGTTCTATCCTCTCCTCGCTGTCTGTCTGTCTATCTGTCTGTCTGTCTGTCTCCCTTACCCCGGCACTGTTATGACCGTAGAACAGCGAGGGAGGACATGAAGAGGTACGGTACTGGTAATGCTGGCGGCGGAAGCGGCGAGGCGGGGAGGGAGGCAAAGGTACAAAGCAGGGCGGGTTCCTCAGCAACAAGCATTTCCAGAGGGGGGGGCACTCGAACCTTGTGGAGCGCTTGTGGAAATACATGATATGTCATAGGTGCACAGAAGAAGGTCGACGGGTTGAAAGGCGTAAGAGACATCGGGCAGGGCAACGGGTGAGGAGCCACGAACGCCAACATAGCCCTCCGAGAGAGGTGAGAGTCAGTTTATTCCCATGGATGGGTGTATCTTCTACGCAGCAAATTTCATACGATTTTCATTCTACTATTCCGTTGGGGGACGAGAACCCACATCAATGGTCATGGCCAGGAGCACCAAGACTTAGTCTAGAGTATGAGGAAAGGAGCCTACAGTAAACAGCACGTCATGGTGGTGTTCTTAGAAGTAGTACCGAACCAAAATAAAGGCATTGCGATTTGTTGTTGACGAAACAAAGTCTATTCCTTCGGTGCTTGGCTGGACCGGGACTGTTAGACACTCGCTATGTGTCGCCAATTTCTTACGTTGACGATACAAAAGTTGATATGGAAAGCGCGTGAAGCACAGCCATAGATGGAGGTAAACCCGAGTAGCTACGAATAGTTAGGTAGGCGTAGGGGTTGTATCGGCCGCCCTCGACAG